ATATACTGTGTGTTATTCACTGTTAGAAACTCTGCAGCCTCAGCTATGGATTYTAATTTTGTATTCAAATAACTGACTTAGTGCATATATTTTAAATATTCTGATATAAATTTCAAAATGGGAAAAAAAAAGTAATTACTTTAAAGCAAGCAACATTTTTGCTACTTATTCTAATTCACTGTCCTTCTGTTATCTTCTTTCTTGAAAGACAAGCTGTAAAAAGACAAACCCASCCAGCAGAACTATTTACATACTTTTTGCACAATCTGTGAATAGACATGTTTAATGCTTCTGGAAAGAAGTGACTGTAATACAAAGCAAATTATTAATTTATGAACGTGGCACAATTGATAATACATGCTTACTGCAGCTGTGACTTTCTACTCTACTTGAATGGAATGCTTTTATTATCCTGCCTATGCTCTGAGTCCTGGCAGATGGATGCAGATGTGTGCCATGAAGCCTTTGAAAATTTCAGAATTAAAGGTAGCTAATCTTCCAGAAGCRTCAATGGGAAGGAATATGGAAGGGGTAGAATCCTAAGATATCTGTTTTATAAATGGAAGATACAAACAATTAAAATGTAAAAAGTATTTATTCTCTGTTGCTGTTGTAGCTTCCACTGGGTGCCAACCAGTATTGATGTAAAGCAAACTACAGCTCCCCATATAAATAATTAAGAAAAATTTACTATGAAAATGCAAATCCAAGGCTGTGTTTTGTACTGTGATATGCAGTCCAGATCTGAAAAATTCTTTCTTCATTAGGAAAGTTACTACCCTCATGCCAAGATAAATAAGAGCTCTGATATATGTTTCAAAATGAGASCCTCATTTGTTGCTTATCCAAATAGTATAGAATAGCAAAGTTTAAAAGTTTTAGGATAGACTGTGAGATCCAGTAAAAGAAACAACTGAAATATATTTAAGACTCTAAACCACTGCAGAGAAACAATGTGAATACCTGTATAACAGCACAGTTACCAATCAGCAAAGAAAGCAGGTGGTGTGTTTTYCTGACCAAAGAAAATAGAAAACTTAGATTTAAAACCATAAAAGAATAATCTTTGCTTTAGTAAGCTAAAGGGATCCAGTGAAGCCTTTCCAGATGGAATTAAACAAAATCTTGGATATAAGACTCAAACAGAGATATCACAATGCAAATAGCAAGCTTTGTCCTTATAAAGAACATCTGTTGTGAAGTTGTTTACATTCCTACCAAAGTGGAAAAGGGTATCACTAATTCTCCATTGCAGCCAGACATGTAATSGGGGAGAACAAACTTACTGCTTAATGTTTTTTAATAAACACACAGAGCTTTTTCACTGACTCACTTTTTTTTTCCCCTCGAAAAAACAAATAGGGATTTGGGGCAAAGAGAATCATTCTCATTTCTCATGATACTCATTTYCATATGATTTTCCAGGGATTTATTTCTATATTTGCCATTATTTTATGTTTTATTACATTAATTTTGTAGTCTATTACCTTCCTGTTACAAGGAGGAAACTGGGTGTCCATTCTTGACTGTCTTGCTGAGCAGTCTACTAGAAATGGAGAGCTTCCAGCCTGAGGGTCAGTGTTTTGCTCTCACTCTTCCAGAGATAAAAACGAGACTGTTCTTGGCCTGAGTTCCTCAGGAAATTTGAAATAGGTCAAATTATAGGTCTTTACTGCATTTTAATATTCCCCTTCTGTGTTGTCCTGCTCCAGGTTTTCAGAAGAAGTTTATGTAAAGTGGTGGCCAGTGAGAGCAGGAGAACCAGCATATGAAATATTCTTGATTTACATTGAAAACACTTTATTTGATGGTGCCAAGTTACACTGCTTGCTGAATTTTAACAATGCAGTTTAAAATAGTAGAGTTAAAGCTTGATTTTTAGAAGTGGCATTATACAATTAATTTTTAATAAGTCTGTGATATTTTTAATGTTTTTTTAAATAAATAATTACTGTGTTTCTCAGTGTTTGTGGTTTCTCTCCAATAGAATTACTGCTCAGCACCACATTGCAAGTGATTGGAGCACTCCCTTATATATTTTTATTTTTAACATATACACATACACACACATATATATATGCTATTTCCTGTAAAGGAAATAACCCTTCAACACTGAATTCAGAATGACAGCTGTGAATTTATGCCACAGAACAATTTGGCTTTATTCCTTCATGTAAGGTAGAAAAAAGTTGGTCCAAAACCACATGTCAAATACAAAGACCACCAAGAGCAAAGGCAGACACGCAAGACATAAGTTGGTAAGAAGGTTTACTATAAATAAAACATTTCAAAAGTAAGCASTGTGGTTTGTATATGGAAAAAAAATACTAGCAATGCATAAGACAAAAAAGACAAAATTTATTTGTAACTATAATCCTACAACTTCTGGCTCTTACAATGCATTTCTTATGGTGAAGACCATATTGCATCATCGAACTTTTACCCTGCCACTTCTTTGCTTTCGCCTATTTATTTTTTGGTTTTTGGAAAAATTTTTGAAACAATCTGAGTGCATATGATTTAGAAATAAGTTACAGTAATAATTTTTTTAATAGTGTCTCAAGATTACAAGCAAAATCTTTCTTATCTTCTTCCTACACAAACTAGAGAAGAAACTTGTAGAAGAAACTTTATTATCAGCACAGCAGCCTGATTACAAAGGGCAATTAGTAATTTTGAAGAACACTAAAAAGACATGACCTGATTGCAGAACAGTGATTAAGATACAGATATAGATTAAGATTAGGATGTACTGATATGAGMGACAGAATGAAATTAAAGTCACCTTTCTAGCAGCCAGTGATCTACAAAAGATCTTGTGCTTTGCAGGAGTTCGAGTCGAGCRAAAGTAATGCACATTTTACTTTTATCCTGAACCATTCAGGTTCATGCTATCTCATCCCTTTGTGTGGGAGCCAGCAACTACACACCTTTGGACTGATGGTCTTGATCCTGAATCTGAAATCACTTGTATATGTTTTATATTATCTATAAATTTATATAATCCTGAGTTACTATTGTGAGTAATTTACCATGTGAAAATCAAGCACATGGCAAATAGCTGCAGGAGTCAAAAGCTGTTAGACTTAATGTCAAATGCTTGTCCACTGAATTTTTTTGGTCTCTGAAGGAAACTCTTAGAGAACTGTTAATCGTGCTGAATGGTCATTCTCAGACAGTGAGAAATACAGTTGGAGTCAGACTCTTCTTTCTGAGGAGAGCAGCTCCTTTGCCATAATTAGAGGAGCTGAAGCACCCTCCACAAAACACAGTCATTCCTTTAATAAGTGACACTGAACTCTATCCCAGCCTGCAGCAGCCTTCTCAGCTTGAAACACAAAAGCAGTCAAGTCTCAAAAACTTCAAAGAAAGCTTTTCATTTTATTTTCTCCTTGATCCACTGATAGAGCAGTTCATTTTCTTGAATTKTGTAAAATGACTTTTTCACTCATCAGACCTGTGTAACAAATCAGTCTCAATCACCAAATGTTCCCGTTTGACTCATCTGCTTTTCCTTTGGCCTTTGGGTAGGAAGCTTCACTTCTGAAACATTTTCTAAATTCACTTTTGTGAACTCTTCCCCCTCAGTTGCACTTTGTTCCATTTTAAAAAATAATTGCATTTCCTGCAACATAATGTGCTAGTTTCAGGGTTTTAAATTTTGTCAGAAGCCACATTTTCTTTCTTAGAGCAATGTCTTTCCTTTAAAAAACATCATTTTATTACACACTATCAGCTGTAACATGGTGCCTTTAAGCAGTAAATGCTGTAACATAAGTTTTTTCCAGAATTCTCAGTTTCACTCTGCTAACTTAGAACAGCTTTTTCATTAATGATACATTTGTACTCTCATGTATATTGCTTTGGTTTTGATGGTCAAAGATTTTCTAATTTCTGAATTTTGCTACTGCAGCCTATGCTGAGATAGTATCTCCTTTRAGGAAAACTATAACAACACAGGACTGTCAATAATCCTAATCTTTTTCAGTGTTAAAAAGGCTGGAAATCTATAAAGTTTCATTCCTCCAGGCTTTTTCTGCCTCAAAGCAAATAGGCAAACTTCACACAGTTATTCCCCGCAGGGAATGTAGTCAGTCCTTCCCAAGATGTGAAAGCAAACCCTGTAACGTGAATTATATTTTCAACCAGGTGCTTACATTTCCAGGTGTACTATCCAGTAATGTATAAACTAGAACACTACAGGAACACAGAGCATTGTAAATTTGTACACAATTATGCTCCAGAAGAGTGTAAAAAGGGTTGTGTTGTGATCTTTGCTTACTGGAATTAACTGGGACTGAAACATTGCCTGTTTTACATTTGTGGTGAAACGCAACTGAGCTGAGTCTGATCATTGTAAGTTCCATGGAGTAATTTTTACCGTGTTCYCCTATGTGATAGCAGATTTTAGCTGATTTCCTTAGCTGCTCAGGTTAGACATGAGTCTTCAAAAGATAAGTAGATCTGAGCAGACATAACATTTAGAAAGGATGGTGGTGGTCAGTCTGTAGAGAAAGGAAGAGATAAAGGAAAACAGCTTCTGAATGACACAAAACCAGTGTGGAGCACATGAGAATTAAAGAAGTCAGGGCTGCTTGACTAAAACTGCCTGGATCCTGAGTCAGAACCAATTTGACAGATATGCCCAAATTGGACATGATGTAGTGTCATCTGGCTTTATCCTTCCCAACTATCTTCAGTCTTCTGCTCTTGCTGTGCTGCTTCCCTCTTCCCATTCCATTTTCCATGTGGGCTCCTCTAGCCAGTCATGCACATTTCCTCCTTTTTGAGGTTTCACCGCCCTTTGTGCAGTCTCTGTCCTGTGTCACCTCTGTCTGTGTCCCCGTGTCCCCTCAGCCGTGTCCCCTCAGCCGTGTCCCCMGGCCCTGCCCCRAGCCCATGGAGGCCGAGGCCTGAGGGCAGCGCTGCACCGGAGCCTCCAGGAGCCCTCACAAAGAGCTCAGCYCACAGAGCCCACAGAGCTCCATGAGAAGCCAGAAATGAACCTGAACACTTTGTTCCAGCAAATTCAGTTCACAGAGAAGCAGGCGAGGGAGAAGAGGAATTTCCTCCACCAAGGTGGGCCCCACAGCTGCCATCCTGAGGGGCCTCTCCATTCCAGTCCCACAGGGTATCTCTGAGGGGATTCACATCAGGGAAAAGCAGCCAGGATGTTTTTTTTCACCAACACATTTTTATAAGGAGAGCACTTTTACAAACAGCACACCTTCTTACAGGTTTTCATTGTCTTGCAGCTAAATGCGACATAAACCGAACTTACGAAAAAATTAACCAAACAAGAGAAGAGCTGAGCGCTGCAAAAATTAACTTAGAAACCCAGGTGAGCAGGCATATTTATAGTGCACATAATAATGAAATRCATTGTGTTTACAAATATACGACCTGTTCTTTCAGGAACAGATCCATAAGCACTTTCGAGGAGTGTGCTTCCCCTGCTGAACAGCGCAGCAGGAGGAAACTTGCATTGTGCCTTTCTTTAGGCAATTTTCACTYTGTAGTGAAAAAAGGGTCCATCAACATCCTTCCTCCCACAGATCTCRCCCTTTGGGCTGGCTCCTGGCTGTATTAGGGGCAGGATTACTTTTGGGGCATGGTGTGGGATACCCTGAGTTAGCAGTGCTGCAGTGTGTTAAAACACTTTCCTCCAGTATTCAAAAGCCATCCCATGGTTACCCATTAAAYAAATGCCATTCATTTATGGCCTTTCAGAGAAAATAAGTGGAAACAGTTTCTGTGTTTACTTCACAAGATCTTGAGTCCTATACTGAAGATATTTCTGCCAGCTCACAGTTAAGGCTTACAAATCCTAAGGGTTTTTCTAGGGAGGCCAAAGAAWGAGGAAAGTTTCTGAATCTATTTAGTGGTTTTATTACTCTTTTTCTATTTAATCAAACTGCAGGTGTATTTTCAGATTAAGTCACCGGTTTTGCAGAGTTTTTCACCAATAACACCTGTGGTTGCAAATTATTTAAAAATCCATTTGCTTGTGTCTGAAAATTAAGTCTAAATACCCTCCCCTGTGCTCTTAAGTATCTGYGCTGACAGAATGTGTATTCACAACAGGAAAGCATGTGGAGCCTACTTTGAAGTCAGAACTGTTGGATCCCATCATTTAAATAAACAACTTCAAGAACCTCTGGGAGATTGTCTCATCTAGTTGTGAAAATAAATGTCTGGGGGATGATTTTCATCCTTCCAAAAACAGGCTCTTCTGCCTTTTGTAAAGGACTATAATATATATATATATATAAAATAAATATCAACATTACTGAGAAGGGATCAGAATAAAAGAGAACTCATTTGCAAATATTTACTGGTTGCAAATTGAGACTATAATCACACAGGCAGTTATTCACGTGCCCACATTTATGCATGCCACGATCTCAGAGCCCAAAGGTGCTTTAAAATAGTAACTTGTTTATCCAACACAGATTATTTCTGGATGTTGCTTGTTAGGTGAGGTCCTCAGTAGTCTTTCTCATAAATTTATTTACGAACATAACAATTTTATGATTATACTACTAATATTTTATTGATGCATTATGATTTACAATCAAGGTTTATGTGGTAGGTACAGAAGGTCCCAAGAGTAGAGCCATTCTTGTAAATGACTAATGGGAAGAGCTGAAGAACTATTCCTAATTAAATTTTATGTGCTTTACTGACCAGTATTAATAATATTCTCACTGATGTCCACAAAAATATATTTTACTTGCTTGCCTAGTCTGACATTGATTCATTTATAGATAGGAAATAATACAGAAAACTAGTGGAATAGAAAAATGCATTTCAATAAGACTGTATTTAGGTTTAAAGGTTATATAGTTATTGACGCYATTTAAAGTAATTTATTTTTCACTACAGGAATTAGATTTACATATGTCTGCAATAGTTCATGTAGTTCAAATAATATTTGATAGTGCTGCTCAGCTAATGCTTTTCAATTTATCCCACACCAAATAACTGTAGTTCTTTATAAACACATATCCAACCATGTGCCTGCTCGGCAGCTGATGCCTGACCAAGATGATGAGACTGAGTTCAGAAGTTTTTTGGATTCTATTTCACAGACACTGCCTGTGGTCAATCAAAGAGTCCTGGGAAMCGCAATTTTTTCCTCTCTTCTGTAAAACTAGGTAGCATGTAATTAGAAACTGAATTATAGCATTTTGCTGTTTGTAGYTAAATTATTTCTTTTAAAAATTTGGTTGCAAATGCATAGATGAATTTGGCGTATTACAGATGAGAAACTCCACTGAAGCTAGTTATGAGCAGTAACACTARTACAGGAGTATAAGAACATCTACAATCTTTGAATTAATATGTAAAATTCATTCTCAGCCAATCACGTCCTTCACCCTTAGSATGCTGGGCATATTAGGGGTGAGGAAAAAAATCTAATCCTTTTCTTTCCAGCATTCCAGTCTTCAGGCATTTAATTCCACTAGCATCCTATTTTGATCAGATGCACTTCATCTGTGCCCTCTCCAAAATCATCTGCATTATTTAACTTTAAAATATTTTCATTTTTACTATTGTAATACCACTCTTATTTGCTCTGTTATGCTTGTACACACACAAACACTTGTGTCTTAACCTGACTATTCAATTTGCTTCCTGATCCTTACCCTGTGCCTTTACTCTGTGGGCAAATCTAACTTTGCTTTTCCTTCTCATAGYTCTGAGTCAAGAGGACTTGACATTCCACTCCATCAAATGAATAGTTATCATCCTTTAAGACTCTCCTACACTTAGCTGTTTCCTATTCATTCTTCTTATAGTTCATCCCACCATATATCTGCCCTCAGATTAGACAATGATACAACAAATGTGCTGGAAAAATGAGAATTCTTCAGCAAATTTTGAAAATGCAATGGTTGAATGGCATATCCTCGTGTCAGATAAACTAAAGGTTAAAATTAATTAARTTCTAAATAAATCTCTGTGCAAAATCATAGTTTGGGGCTTGGGGAGTTTATGATCAAACTGTCCATAACCAGCAGGCTAATTTCCGTGACCCTTCATAATCTAAAAATTCCAGAAATTGTGCTCGTAAAAATATCCTGCTCTCCTTTACATATTCCATARTAGCACTGAAGAGTGGATGACATCTGCACCCATTCAGTCAAAAGCAGTCAAAACCCCTGCCTCTCTGATATTATTCTGATATTATTGTCTCATTTGGTAGGGGATGAGCTTTACACAATGAGATGGAGGACAGTGGATTATGTTGGGTAAAAGATCCCATGTGGTAAATATTTTTTCCTGGTTTTAACATGAAAAAAAATTCTCCTAAACCTTGCAGACTTAAAAATGCCATTTTAGATAGATGGAGCACCACTGAATGACTCTTAAAAAAAGTAGACTTTTCAAAAGCTTAGTGGTACACTGAAATGTTATTGAGGTGAAAAAAAAATTGTTATGCTTTTGTAAGTCCAGCTTTATGCCAGATGTTTGTTTAACTGGACCAAGATCATTGTGTACAATTTCAAAGTATTTGAAACAATGAAACAATAAACTTCTTTTTTCCCCTTTTGGAAGATTCAGCATCTGTCTGTAAAGCAGTTCCACTTAGAAGTTCTGAAGAAACGTGAAGACAGCTTAGAAAAACAAAAAGCTGAACTTAYTAATCAAAGAACCAGTCTTCTTAAAATCTTGGTATGTTTCCAGCTGGGTATTCGTACTACTCTTTTCTAGTGTGCAAGAGCAATCAGCTTTAAAATTTGAAAATCTGGAAAAATGAATGTTTTAAATTAGGAAAATATGTTTTTTTATTCTAGGGTATGTAACAATATAGATGTAGATAAATTCTCACTTCTAATTTAAACTGTGATCTAAGCTAGTGTGTGCTGCATTTTATCTACAAAGCAGCTTTGATATTCTTTACTTCATTTTCTAATGTTTACGGCTGTATGACTGAACTCCAATTCGGACAGATTATTTSCTTTGTAAAAGTAAACTAGGAAAGCCTTAAATTGGATTGTCTCATCCACAGTTAAAAATATTGAAAAGGATCAAAGGAAAAACCCAGGGAGGCCCACACCACATTTTAGCAAATGGGGACATTTTAGCAATCCTGACATACCCCAAATCTCTTTCATGCCAGACACACCTCACCACCTCTTCAAAGGTAGCTRCTTATAAGAAGTTTTTCAGTTCTCTCATGTGCTAGCCTGAATATTGCCTTCCACTTACTTTGTTGAGGATTCTTGGATCTGTACAGATGAAGATATACCACAGAGGAGCAGTCTTCTCTGCATATGTATTTGCCCTTTAAATCAGCAGAGCTAAATRTTAAACATTCAGTACAAATCACCAGAATTAAATCTAAATCTTCAGGCCGGTATCTTTTTAACTAWGTAATATTTCTGCAATACCCAAAGTATTCCCAGTATGTTTGAAGTTTGATATATAGGTTATAATTTCTTTTTGTCCTGAATAGAGGGGTCATTTTATTTAACTTAGCAATCAATTAAGATTTCTTAGAAAGAATTTAATATAACCTTTCTGTTTTGAGTATCTTTTTTCCTAGAAAATTTAACAGTGAATTTCTATCAACTATAGCTTTCTTGGTAGTTATTAAGTGAGCKAAAGTAAGTCTGTATTCTTCAGAGAATTGAACAACACTTTTATTTAGTTTAATAACAATCTAAAAAAAAGAACTGTCATACTGTGCTATTGACTTTAAACAGAATTTTCTAATTTCAGTGGGAGAGTTGAATTGAAAATCTGGTTCAATTCTGTAACATAATGTAGTGATTTTTTTAAATGCTCTATTAYCAATAATATCAATTTTTGCAGAGAAAAAAGTTTTAAACAACGGGCATAATGATAGACTGTAGATCATTTTCATGTTAGTCTAGGAAGAAGAAAATATTTTCTTTACTTTCACATTTATTTAATTTATTTACTTTTTGCTTATTTATTTACTTTTGTACTACAAATTTAAGGGTAAAAAAACCCCACTGTGTTTCAGTCTGCCAGAATATTTTAACAAAGACTTTCTTGTTTTTTCACCTAAACATTCAATATTCCCTTTCTTTTTTTCAGAATGATGCAAAGAAAAAAATTACGGAAGAGGAAGATAATTTTACCAGAGAAGTAACAGAATTTAACAATGAATATGGACTAACAAGTAACAGAGATCTTCTTATTAAAAAAAAAGTCAAGACTGAAATAAATGATTTAGACAATGAAGCAGCTCTGTTGAAAAGTGGTAAGTCTTGTATKAAACCAGTTTATCTTGGGTTAACACAAATTGATGAAATATAGCTGTGCAAACCAGTAATTTTAATTCCATTCCCCTGCTGTCTGGAGCTTCCTTTTAGCACTAAATTGAGAGTGTGGTCTGACATACCATATGCTCYTCAGTCCTTTCTGAGGTGAGCACTATGAGGAGAAGAAGCTGACATGCAGAAGTGGCTCCTAGTGTTTAATTGAGCCTGCACAGAGCTCATGGTCATACACAGAAACTGAATAAAGTTTAGAATCACCTATGGCTGAGCTCTGTAGATTTCCTTAACTTCAAAAGAATGGTATGCACAAATGTCTTGTAAGACAAGTCCTTTAGTGCCACATCCAGCTTGATCTCTGAGTTAAGGTGCAGAGTATGGGATCTCTCAGAGCACAGGGTCAGACTGCAGAGCAGCCCTTCCGCAAGGAAATCGGGGTCGTCATGGATCACAAGCTGAACATGAGTCAACGACATCAGAATGCCAACACCACACTGAGACACAAACACACTTCTGACCTCTAAGACATGGAAAATAATTCTCCACTCTATTTGAAGCAGTTAAGCTCTGAGCTGGAGTACTGTGCATTTCATTTTGATCTTTTACTTAAAAAAAAAAAAAAAAAATTTCATTTTGATCTTTTACTTAAAAAAAAAAAAAAAAAAAAAAAAAAAAAAAAAAAAAAAGTGGACCAGCTGGAGAGAATCCACATGGAACCAATGAGAGTGATATCAGGGTTTTAGAGCACACGAGGAGGAAAATGAAAGAATTGTGACTATTTAAGCTATTAAGGAAAAGACTGATGAAAGATAGATATCAGTCRTTAAATTAAGTATCCTGTAGAAAGGAAATTAATGTATTCTCTATAGCTATAGTGAACAGAATAAAAAGTAACAAGTATAAAGCACAAAARGGGAGAGTCTGTCTGACAGCTCAGAAATCTTGCTAAGAACAGTGGACCACTGAAACACACTGCCTTGAAGATTCCATTAACAAAGGAATTAGGAATGTCCACTACTAAAGGTCTTTAAGAAAAGTTTAAACCAGCATTTGTCAGAAATGACACAAGTACAACTGATCCTGCCTTCAGGAGAAGGAATACAKTAGATAGCTCCTCAAAGTCTTTTCCAGCCTCGTGATTTGTCAAGTGACAGCACTTTCAATTCCCCCATCTGCTATAAAGTAACTGAAAAAGGACTATCCATTGGAGGTGGCACCTTCTTTCTTATTTTCTGTAGCTATGATACTAATCTACAGCTGTATTTGGTGTCAAATGCTACTTTTAGCATTTAATTTTTACATACCTAAGCAGACTGGAGCAGTTAAAAGATCAGTAGTATCTGAAGGGTGACCCAAATTTCCCTCTAAGTTCAGTTACCATCTCAATTCCTTCCTTTAATTGCACCTTTCTCGAGGTACAATTTGTCTGTTGTTTTTTTTTAATCTGCTACACTCCTGGGCACACTGACAATCCTGAAGTGAAAAGTTTAAGGAACTCATAACAAGGAAATTATGTGAGGACCACCAATTGTTAGAAAAAACAATCAAAATTAATTCCAGATTCTGTCAATAGTACGGTTCAAGTATATATAACACTAAACAAACTAAGAAGTTTTATCTTTTCAGTCTTGCTGAGAGGTGTCTGTWCTCCACCTATTCAATCAGTCATCTTTCTTTATAGCTGAGGTAACTCTAAAGCAAAACATTCCTTTTATGCCCAGACAACAAAATACGTTGAACAGCTTAATAACATTTAAAAAAATCCTTTCATAGCTATGAATACATTATATGACATATAATTTCCTGTGAACTGGGTTTTATATGAATTATTTTAGTTCATTTTGGTTTTATATTTAAGGTTCTTTTGACTAGCTGAAGATTGGTAGAAGTAGTTAAGAATATTTAAGATTGCATCATGGATGCTGAAACTGCAATGCATTTTAATTTAAAAYGTATTTTTTCTTAGAAATGGAGTCAATGGAACATAAAAATGTTCAGTTAAATGCACTCCAGCTGCAGAAGAATGAATTAAAACAGGATTTATTTGCTCTCCAAAGTGAGCTCAAAGGTGTGTCTGATAAGTACTTGCTATGATAATTATTTCTGGCTTGACAAATGCTTCTGAAAAATGTTTTTTGTCATTTTTTTCAAGAACAAGGAATCATAGTAACAAATTTTAATTTAGTTTTAAAAATATGTAATAATTTTTTTAAGCATGGTTATAACAAATACTAATTTCAGTTAGATTTACTTTTAATGTCATTGATACTGAGGTCCACATATTTRCTGAATCATGAGCTATAAATATAAAAAATATTTTGCTTCTGCTAGTAAGCCATTTACTTAAATGGAGAATTTAATGTTTCAAAGAAGTTAAAATCAACATAAACCTTGTTTAAAACCTTCCATGTCAAAGGTGATCACACCACTAGGGAATACTTTGAAATCYGGATTAAAACAATGTTATCTAGAATGCTTTAGTATCTTTTTCTACAGATATCTAAGTAACATGTCACAGTAAGAGCTAAGAAAAGCAGTAAATATGATCATAAATTGTTTGGAAAAAGGAGTGAAAATTTTTAGATTGCAATATGTGATTACAATAATAATAAAATAACTAATTTTCTTTATTTAGATGCCTTTACCCTTCAAAGAGTTTCATTAAGAAATATTAGGAAATAYAAATTTAGACTATGTAGAAGGTCTTTGAATATGAATGATTAATATATATTTATAGGGTAATTCTGATTTCATGTTTAGACCTTGAGAAAGTAATCAGGGAGGCTGAAAGAATGACRAAAGATTTAGAAGCAGAAAAAGTCCAAGTCATTGAAAAACCTCAGACTGATCCTGAATGTTTAAGGTAAGAGTCTCATGTTAATTAGTTGTAAATTTAATTTTAGGACTGTAACTGCAGTCTACCCCTGGGGGCAATGACTATTTTACCTTTCATGTGCAATATTCCTTCTGAAATCAGAAGAAGCCTTCTTTTTTTATTAGGCAACCCCAGTTCCTGTTKTTTATTACAGCATTTCACCCTCACATACATACTCCAATGAACTAAAAAGTGGAAGAGTTTCAAACTCAGAGAAAGAACAAAATGCTGCTGCTTGGGTGGAAGACCATTCCKGAGGAGTTGTAAATATGGTGATGTGCACAAAGTACTGATGGACGACCCAATGCTAAACTTATTTGTGCTGCCTGRCTGTTCAGAGGCTGATTGCAATGGAATGGACTGGCCACAGGAACGTCCTCAGGCAGCTGGGACATGTGTTGGAGCCACTAAATGTAGATTTATTTTCTCTCTGATCTCTACTATCCGTTCTAGTTTGCCTTCTAATTGAGCTTGTTTAGAACAACATTTGAGGACTTTACTGAGACAGAGAAGACCTAGCACAGTCTCCATTAACAGTGAAGAGTAACTGAGTGGTAACAATTCATTTTTTGTCACTCTGCTTAACTGAAGCTTTAGGTTTTCACTTTACAGAAAATAATGTAATGATTTTTTTAAAAAATCTCCCAGTGCAGGAAGCTCCATATCACAGAATTGACCATCTTTTTTTCTGAAATATTTTATGATGTTCCAGATGGATGTGCCTATTTGAAAACATTTAACAGACAATGCAAAGGAACTCCTCTACACAATTTTTATTACCATCACTGTTTTTTTTTTCCTGTATATTCCTAAGCTTTTGACAAAAATAAATAAATATAGTGGACTTTTTTTTTTTTCTTCTGAAAACTTTCAATGGAAAGTTATAACTTTGCAGAGAACCCTAGCAATTTTCTGAAAGACGATTTGGTAATGACCCATTTTTTGCTGAATATCTGTTTTTGAAAGAAAATGATATATCAGCCCTATTAGTAACTCTCTTCAACCTCTTACATGGTGTTGAGACATGGCCAAAATTCCCTCAGCATAAAAATTAATTAGCTCACAATCCTGCATACAGTAGCAAAAAATTTGCATTCAACATATACGTAGAAGACACAGTGTAAATAATAATAACAGTAACGATTCTCTAGGACAGCACGTTATAACTCACTGGTTTACATTATTCATTCAATCGTGATATATTAGGGTTTGTGATACATGAGGTTGTCAGCTTCCTTCCAAATAATATACTTCTCTTGGAATAGTTTAGTGCCACGATGCCACTGAATACCCAAATTTGTGTAATTAGTTTTCTATAACAAGTTTCCTGGATTCAAGGTACAGAAGAAGCCAACATTATCATGCTCTTAATTCCCAGCTCTGCCACTGAGATCCTTGGGATCAATCAAATCCATGCCTGYCTGTCTGTCTGTCTGTGTAGTRACATTAACTCAGAGCKCTGCAGAATGACRCTTTGGTTTTCTCTGGRTGGAAAACTGGATAAAACATATTAAATTCTATTCACTGCAAAATCAGCAAGTGTCATTTACAACCAAARCAAGAAGGATGATGAGATTTTCTTATTTCATGAAATGCCTCCTTTTAGGGTCAAGATAAGCTAACATTATTTGATAATTGCATGTAGTGCAAAAGATAAAGTGCTCCTACTGCTATTATCACTATCACAAAATGCAAACACTTCTTGAGGTCTAGTAATATACTAAATAAATTTTCTTAAAATTGAAACACTTTTYCATTTCAGATACTGGAAAAACTTTAGGACAGATTTGCCTAAATCATATTTTTATCTTGCACTTGCTTTTGATCMGAAAAGCTCAATGCTTTATAGGGAGAGATAGCCCTGAATAAGTTAACTCAAATGCCAGAAGCAACAGAGCTATGCTGCTGTATTTCCATGTCAGCACTAATAGATTCTGCTTCTCAGTAGGGCCAAGCAGGCAAGCCTCATTTTCCTTCCTCTCCATGTCAGTGCTGAGCTCTATATAACCATCCCAAACCTTATCAGACTCATACAACTACAACAGTTGTTTGTTTTGTTTTGTTTTATAAATTTAACAAAGCCTACTGTTTACTTCTTGATTTGGATTACTGACTTGAAAGAATGAAAGGGGATTAATAAATAGTCCCCTGGAAGGTACCTGATCACTCTCCAGCACCTACATATCATCAAGAGAATGGAGCYAGGATCTGCACAGTAGAAGAAAAGGCAAAAAAGCAGAATTTGAAAGAARAGGATTTAGAATGGATTTAAGGAAAAAAAGTATTTTCATCATGAGGAGGCAAAGGTTTGCATAGTTTTCATCCTTGAAGGCTTTACTTCTCGAGATATACACAAGTATGTGGCTGTATCTTAACAGGAGTCAATTTTGGTCATGTTAAAATCAATGTGATTGACCCTTCTGTGTCTGAGAAACAACCTTTTTTAGCCTAACAAGATTAGGTTTTTTATCCCCATACAGAGTTTATTGCAAGAATAGAACACCAGTTTTCACTGAAAATCTTYTTTTATTATACATAAAGATGATAATATTTTAACACAAGTAATATGGCTTAAGACCACTTTTTTTTTTTTTTCTATGAAATAAGCACAATAGTTTTGTTTTTACTGAACTGGAAACCACACCACTATAAATGGTAAAAACACTGATTTTTTTATGCTTCCTTAAAACAAATGTGAGAGACAGTCAGCATCAATAACCTGATATATGTAGCTCCCAAATCACCCTGCAAGTCTGTTACTGCATCACATGTCTAGTCCCAGCTTAAAAATCGATATCAAAAGTAGCTGGCAAGGCAAGAATCTTCATTGCAATTAAGTMTATATCTAAAAGTAAATTGCGTTTCAGCTGAAGAGTGTAGCYAGCTAATTCAAATTACAGCAATTCATCTTTGATCTGAGAAAAATGCCCCATACCACRTCTGCAGTTTCATAAAATTTCTCTCGAATCCATCAAAGAATGACAAAGGGTCATGAGAAGCTCACACTGGTAATTCCAGCAGCTGTTGGGGCTGCAGTTAGAGGCTTGTTCTGACACATATTTGATGCAGAAAAAAGCCACCCAGAACTGGAATGTTAAGCACAATTGTAGTTAGCAGGCACCTTGGAAAAGGCACCTCTCAAGATACAGGTGCATAATTCAGATATGTTTTTAAGAAAAGAGGGTCTTCTTCTTTTTTTTTTTTCCTCCCCCAAAGAGAGCTGCAATTAAGACCAAAAGCCTTTTTTTAATCGTCTTTTCTGCCAATGCCAACCTCAAACACAAAAGAGCAAGAAACAACTTTGGCCTCAGCTCTCTGGTGTCCCATTTCCCTGGCAGGTAGTGAGTAACACCACTTAAGTGGAACAATGCAGGAATCAAGCAGAGACTAACTGATACCAGTAAATTCCTAACAATGTCATTTCACTATTATATTAATTGATATTACTATATTAATTATTTATCCTCTTTCACATCTTAATTTTAAATTTATGTGTTGCCTTAAGTAAAACAGCCTAGAATTAATTTTAGTTGAAGTTTATTTAGGCTAGAACCAGATCATTTCTATCTAAAATAGATATTTTTCAACCTATTTAAAAGGTAGAATAAGGATAGAATGCTTCTTTGAAACCTGAATTTCTTTTCTACTTTGGAAAAGAAATAGCAGAAAGGAAATGCATGAAATCTGCTTAYTTTGTAAATAGTTCACAGCTTTGTATACTTTTCTAAATCCTAAAAATACAGTATTCCTTCTTATACTTCATAATCCAGAAAAATAAACTCCATTACCCAAATTAGGAAGGAAAAAGTAATTCTTCCTTTCATACCAATCATACAGGAAACATATTCCTTAGAACTGAGCAAATTGTTCATGCAAACAGCAAAAACTGCCTAAGCTTCTGGTGGGTTAAAACATTTTTTTTGCAATTTAATGTGATGTTAAATTTTACAATCAGAAAACATCAATCTCTGGGGTAATAGATGTGTTCAAAATGAGTTTTTCAATGGCAATCTCCTCATTGATTTTTTGAGCTTTTCTTCTTAATAGCAGTGCCTAGTGGAACTATTATAGTTTGAATTATGTTAAAATAGCTTCCCATTATGAATTGCAGTATGGATTTACAAAAAGTAGATCAAATCTGACTAATGATGTCTTTCTTTGATAAGACAACAGATAGGTTAGACAAAGAAAATTCAAATGCCGTCCATCTGGACATTAATAAAGAATTTGGTGTTATCCCATGTGGAAAACTGCTAGCTAACCTAGGAAAGACATACTAAAAACATTAAGTAAGGAAATGACTAACAGTAACAGTCATAGGTCTGCAATTAAAAATTCTGGGACTCAAAGGTAACAACAGTCACAGTTGGTCTTGCTTAATGTTTTAAGTAATGACTCAAGAGTAGAAAGTGTTTTAAGACAACAGGATCTTAATTAAAAAACTCTACACCTTGTAGAAGAGTCACTGAAAAAGAGGAGGAATGTAATTTTATGCAGTGCAAGTTTATCTACTTGTACACAATTAAGGACTTCAGTAATAGGTACTTGGAAGCAGAGAGGTTTGAGCATATTATGTGAGAAAAATACAGCTATAAACATCAAAAGAGAATATAGCTGTGCACAAGATAAAAGCAAGATTTATTTCCAGCAAAAAACAGGAGGGTGTAAAGAATGCTTTGTACAAATCTCTCACCTACTTGTCAAAAAAGATACATTCAACCTGGACGATGAGCCCATAAAGCAGAATGAAACAAGGACAATTCTTAACCCTTTTCTGAGAATATTATACACATGAAGAAAGTAGTACCTTACAGAGATACTAATTTCAGCACTAGGGTAACCATATTAGTTTACCCAATTAAGATCTAATTTTCTCTATCCAACAGAAAAATCAAGATAATTGAGCTAGAAGAATGACTGACCCCTATTTACTTKCCCTGTCTTTCAATGGGAAGTTTATTGATTCTAGAAAAATGTTTYATTTCACATCTCACATACATGCTTGTGTATTTTTTTCTTTCCTGTGTAGCTCATTCTTACAGTTCCTATGGAAAATAGGCCATACAACAATAGGCTGCACAAAAGCAAATCTCATCCTAAATTTAATTCAGTGTGCCTTACCCTTTCCATGTTTATTCATCTATTATTATATAGTCCTTAAAGATGTCTTGTGATGTTTTATGTAAAATACCACCACACTTTTCAGGACGTTTAACTACTCTTATAAATAGTTTTCTGACAGCATTCAGAAAATGCAAGCTTTAAACAATGATAACTCTTTATTTTACATTTGACATTCAGGACAACAAAATCAGAAACTTCCCTATTTTACCTGTTGGCTCTATTTCTTTTAGTTTACATTTGATTTCCATTGTTATGGAGTCTAGTACCTTCTTTGTGTTCACATTTCATCTTCTTGCTAGAATTTATTACTACTAGATCACTTGCTTAATTTTTATTAGCCTTCTGCTCCATCAAGCATAAACTTTCATATTTAATTGTATAACTCAAGTACTTGACTTCATATTTTGGGATACTGAATTCCATTTAGAACTTGTTTTCCCTCTTCCTCAATCAATAGTCTGATAATAGTCTGAAATTTATTGACTTCTTCTGCTGTATCAATWGCATTTTCTGTTTAGTAGTGTCAGCAAATTGTAAATACCCAGTAAAATCTTKCTCTCACTATAGAAACATACACATTAATTTAATCCCAGCACAGAACATAGAGAGAATTTCCTCTACTTGAGCTTGAGACAATAAACAAAAGTCTTCAATACTTTTCTTCAGTCCCAATAAAGTCTTAAAAACTTGATAAATGTATTTCCTGACGTTTTTGATGAAAGAAAAGAAAAGACTCTCAAGTTATATAAAACTTCTTAAGGAGTTTTCATTTTGTACCATGTATTCTATTCCCTGTATTTCAGTGTCAAGAAATACTGTTTTAAAATACACCATAATGTTTTCCCTCAAATTTATGATTAAAAAATATAATGGTGGTCATAAACAAGGCAAAGACAGAAAGAGAATACAGAAAAAAATTTTACTTGTGTCAGCAAAGCATAACTAAGAGACAGTCTGCCCTTTCTGCAACWCCAACAACAACTAGTTGGGTCTTTCACACCCACTAGAAAATTTTAAAAATACTCTAAAACCACATATTAACCCTGCCTTCTTCAGAAATTATTTCTCCTTTGAGACATCTTTACATAAAGTTATTCTTGGAATGCAAGTTTTGGATACTGAAGTCTTGATCCAGTCATTTGAATCTATGGATGATTTTYAGAGACATCTGTTTGACAGTAACATTATTTTCTTCATAGTTCAATTTATAATACCAGCATGTATTGATTTCAAATTATTTTTCCTCTTTGCCATGTGACTATATAGAGCTGAAATTTAAGAAGAATGTGTATCAACCACAAATGCCAATGACATTTAATAGCTGGGCTCATTTCAAAGCTGCAAAATCGATCATCTTCAGCAAATCCCCTCCTTCTTCATCTCTGTCACTTCTAGCATTCAAGACTAATGGAAAATGGGCCATTGATAGCAGAACTCAGTGTAGGACAAGACAGCATCCAAAAAATGCTGATGTTGTTGTCCCACCTGTTTGATTTAAGGCTAGGTTTAGCCATTGCAAATATGGCATTTCAGCTCCAGATGTTCATTAGAGCCTGTGATGCTGAAACTTGCCAAGACACTGTTAGTCTTGGGCCATGACTTATTTTAAAGATATATTTTATTGTCACCAAAGAGAACAGAATGCTAAAAATAAAGCAAAACCAAAGCACATGGGGGCCAAATGCTAATGTGATTTTTCAGATTATTTTTCCTATGAGATCTGCCCTTTTTCATAGTCATAAAAGGGRTATAATTGTCAAATTAATCCTTGTTCTAGCAAAAGTTACATCTTTTTCCATTTTCAGAGGTGACAGAAAACCTGCCTTCCATCTAGACAGTATAGTTTCATGAATAATTGGTTTGCACATTCAATCTGATAGTGGAAAGATGAATATGAACATCCTGCTTATCTTAAATGTAAAATGAAAAAACGAAATCTGCTTTCAGGTTAAACATTTTTTTTTAATAGTTCCATTGTCTCACATTCCTTCTGGTAAAACTTCATCATTTATTCAGTAACTCAGGCGTCTCCAACGCATTAATTTTGTAGACTGTAACCTAACAGACAGCTCTTATTTTGTGAGTATAATATTCCTGGCACATACTGTAATTATCTAGCTTCTAAATAAGAAAGAAAGAAGACCTGAAAGCAGAATCAATTGATTAATGTAAGAATTAAACACCACATTTGAATGAATGTCTTTTATCACCACTACCTGGTGCCATGTAAGGAATTGTGCTGTCACTACGTTTAGAAGTTTTATAAAATATTTTAAATAAAATTTTAAAATCCATGCACAAAATGTTAGTTTCAAAGCACATCATCAATAGTAATTAATTCACAATGCCAAGACACAGATAAGCAACTCCTACTGCTTATCTTCTGGTTCTTCTATCCCTAATGTAGCCTAGCATGGACTGGTATTATTCTTAGCTCACAAGTAGCAAGTAGGCTGTGCATCAGTTTTACTATGTGAAAGACAATGAGAGTGCATTTTCTCTGAGCTCAACAGGTTTTGTCTTTTCCTAAGGTAAATTAGRGAAAGTAGGGCTTTTGTTTGTCTCAAGCAAATTAGGATTCTAATATCACACTAACAGAGAACACAGAGAGAAAAAAACACAAGACAAGGCAATGAAGTTAAGTAGATTAATCAAGATCACAAGCTCATCTTAGACCTTGAAATGAACTTCTCTCAATGAAATGGCATGAAAACTAACAGTTTTCAGTGAAAATTTCTCAAAGTGTAGTTCAAAATTCCCTTCTATTTGATACTTTTATGTGTTATGACAAACATTTCTGAAAGGAGGGGTATTTACTGCTTTACAATGCAAGCACACAGAGCTCATGCTTTTTCCATATTGGTGTTAAGATATTTTTATTTGCCACATGAACAGCAGAATTAACTTCCAGTCCAGTCTTACACTGTTGTTCTAAAGCTGCACAGTGACTAAGCTATTCGTCTATTTAAAGACGTATCTTTTACTTTTAATAAAGCCATTTTCTGTGTAGAAAAATCAACTCTATTTGCAGTAGGACAGGTAAAAAGGTGCATCATCTCTATAAAAAGCTCAAATAATTTATCATCTACTATAGTACAGAAAAGCAAAAATAGTTGCTACCTTCTGTTTCAGCTTCAGAAGAAACAAGGTCCTGCTTTGGTTTAGCTATTTAATGTCAAGTAGAATATATACTTTCCTTCCATTTTTTTTCAGTCTGTTTGTACATTCCAGAATATTTTGGTTGTTTCCTGAAACTGTATTAAGGGTAAACAACTTTATCTTTGTCATTATACTTTTCTTATGACAGCCATGGAAAGACTCAGAATAATCTCATCACCTTGAATTTATCAGCCCACTGAAAGCTCTGGCATAGATTTCTCTGGGCCTACCAAGTATTAATTTAAACCTCTACACTCATTGATGTGCTAAGTTTAGGTATCTCCATKCAGCAGGACTAAACAATCTTTTGAGTGGAGAAATAGCTATATTAAAATTAAATCCTTATTGTAGAAAAGTTGGAGAACTGGCTGAGACTATTGGGAAACACTAAGTGCTGAAGAATGGTGGGAGCAGTGGGGACAGAACAGGAACACCACTGTGGAGTCTGTGGAGGAGTATGGAGCAATGCTGGCACAGGGTCAGGCAGAGCATCCACCTAATCCAAAATTCTGTCTCCAACAGAGGCTACAAGAGGATACCCAGGAAAAATAAGAACAGTAACATATGGGACTTTCTAAGTATCACCATTCCAATTCACATGTTTAAATAAGTAAAACGATGACTAATAAGGCCATCTATCTTCCACAGTTTATGGAAACAACACAATCCGCAAATTTGTCTAAGTAGCAAATTTAAATCCTAACCAGGAAAATAGATCAATGAGGCCTTCCTCACACAAGTCAAATTCACTGTTGTGACCAAAACTGAAAAAATAGTTACCCAGCAACACCTCTCTGACCTGAAAATTTATTTGGTTTTGGACAGACTTAAGAAAGAGCTGGAAAAATGCAAAGATGATAATTGGGAAAGTGTCTGCGAGACTCTTCAAACAGAAATTGAAATTCTGCAAATGGTATGCCATTTTCATTACAGATTTTAAGTGTTTGATAATTTTAGTTTTAAAGGTGTCCTTTAGGATGATTAGCAGCAATTTTAGATAAGCAGTTTATTATACTATGTACACTCCTAAATATCCTCTTGGTGCATACATGCACCAATATTAATTTGTTTTAGCTTATATCCAAACATCCAGGAATATAATTTCTAGGAAAAAGAAAAGCACAAGGAAGACTTTAGAGATATGGTTTTAGCACTAGAAAGATGTACTGGGGGAACGAATAGAAATCATTAGTTTATTGAAAGCTGCAAAAGGTTATGCATTTAGGAGCAAAATTAACCTTTACCTCCAGCTGCCAGTTAAATGGAAGATGGGCATATGGAGAAATAGGATGATAATAGCATCCTTTCATCTAGTATTTTATTTTGTCTACTCATAAATTCCTTACAAAAACTTATTAAAATGTGTTTTGCTCTAAATGTCAATCYTAATTTCAAATTTCTTGATTGTCAGTCTGTGTAACAATACAAAGAGAAAARATATTTCGAAGTCCCATTTGGGAAACAAAGGGGTTTTAAAGGTTCATTTCAGAGCCCCTGATTGAGCTGTMTGAAGACACAGCTGCCACTACCATCAAGCAGAATGACAGTCCTGAGAAATTTACATTATTCACTTTTATAACCACTTTCAAATTTCTGTGAAGTAATGTAATTTATTTGCATTTTCTCGGTTATTTTTTCATTAATTTCTTCAGAAAGAAAAATAAAACACCTCAATGTTTAAAAATTTCTCTAAAAACATACTAAGCTTTTAAGATTWAATTTGCTATAATTCCATTCTTTCTCTTTTCCAGAATTTATCACAAAAGAAGTCTTCAGGGAAGTGAGTAATAWGTGGCATATGATATGGAGCATCATAGAAGCAAGTCTGAGCATTTKTAAACCATTTTACTCAAGTTCTATCAGATTTGCTTTTATTTTTCATTTGATTAATTCACAGTTTGTATCTGTCTTTAGTTTTCATTAAAATAAAATTTTATTTCATTTAGAAGTGAGGGGAGGTTTGTATTCAGGTTCAGCAGCTGTCCCTCTATAAGTTCTTCTTTGTGGCCCATGGATCACAGCACATGGGAAACTACACATAAAGCTCAGTTCCTACGTTACTAGCTCTTTTCTTTATAAACTATTTTTTTCAAATGAATGGTCTTCTATATCTAAAGGTAGTGACATGGTCTTATTTGACAGGAAGACTGCTATTACCATCAATAACCCTTAACAGGGGCTGTGACTATTTCGTTTATTCCTTGACAACGCAATTCTGTAATGAATTCCCTGAAATAGCTCAGCTCCAGCAATCCTGCTTGCCAGTCCAGAAAAGTTTCCAAATCTACAGAGCTGTAGGTACCTCCAGTGGTGACAAGTCAGTCTATTACTATTTAGCACTTGCCTTCTGATAACGTGAGAAATCTTCTTTTCTCCCTCTCCCACGACCCACAAAATACCAGGTCCTAACTTCAGCACATAACAACAAAGATAGAACCTTATGCTAAATGAAAAGTCCACATTTCTAGAGAATTGGTGAAGATTTGTGGTTGAATCAGAATCCCTGTTCATTCAAGCATGCAGGATGTATAACTGTAACAGCATTTCCCAACCTCCCAGTGGGAACTGACTTTATCATTCAGGTGCTTACAGTAAAACCATATAAAAACATTCACTCTGCTCAGCCCGAGCCCACTCTGTGGCCATTGTCTCATCACATCCCACTGGGTGTACAAATATTTTTCAGTGCTTCTCCCCWAGGGGAGGGCTGGATAATTGTTCTTCACTCGTTTTTCTACACCCAGAGCCCTCCAAGTGAGTGTCTGTCACACACAAACCTGCAAAAGACGTTTTATTAAGAAGGGAGGAATAAATCCCTTTTGGAACCTGACCAAATTCTGCCTTAGATAGATAAAGTTTTTCCTCTTGGGACACAGCTGCAGTTTGAAGTTTGGCAAGGTTTGATCTGCAGCACTGGTATCAAAGAGTCTTCTGATCCACTGGGTTAGCTAGCATAATTCCAATTGGTGGGGATTATCATGGTTAATAACTGGTGCTGTTGGAGCTGACATCCTTATAAGACTTTTTTTTGTCTCTGGCCTAAGAGAGATCTTCTTAAGATTGCTTGATTTGAAACAACTTAGTCCCTCAGACTTCTATGGGGCCATCTGACTTTTAAAGTAGGCAACTACGGCTTGTGGGTTTTGAGCAAATCCATGGTGTACTACTAAAAATGCAGCTACATATCCAAACACCTGCAGGCAGCTAAAGCAGTGCTGATTCTGAATTTAACTGATGAAGCATCAATTAAAATTTTGGATTTGTTAGAACGGTGAGTTTATCTTGATCATTTTATTYATTTAAGGGAACTTGCTTATGTTAAGTGTATTTGGTAGTCAACAGGAAAAAACTTCTTTTTAACTTTGTGCTTGTCTGCTTATAGTTGCTTTAATTTACAAGAATCCTTGAATTTCTTTGGCAATGGTCTCATTTATACAGCTCTTTGGTCCATATAGATGAAATACTCAGAACATAAACCAGAGCTCATTGACTTACACCAAAATTTCAAMTATACTTTGGAGGTAAGTGGAATGAGGAATAGCCTCCAATAGCAACCAATTAATACTATAAATTAATGTCCCTAAATCAACTGAAAAATCATGTGGAAAAAAAAAAAATTGTTAAGCTCTCTTTTCAGAGACTTCAGATTCCAGCAAACCAGTTGTGAATTCAGTTTTGTGTGCATGAGTCTTTTTATGTTGGATATGTGTGCACAAAAGTCTGTGAAAGTCTGACTTCTTGATTATTGTAGTAGAATTACAGCATAAATATAGCAACATTTGTAATAAYCCAAATGGCTAAAGCTTTCAGAATCAATAAAAGAAAAAAATAGCAAGAATAAAGATCACCAAAAAAAAGTGAAACAGAAATCAATACAAATCCTATTGGGCTAAACAAATCCCTCAACAGCTCTGGAAAAAAGTATGCCAGACTAACCCAGTTGTTGCAGGGTGAATGTAAGACATACTAATTTCTCCAAGTATAAAAATACATTTGTCACCATTGTCTTAGGAGTAATGTAATTTTGAACAAACATAGTTTTTCTGTTTTGGAAGATTCAAACTAAAAACTATGCAAAAATTTGTGTTTTGTGGATTTTCTTTAAAATTCTCAAACTGGGGGTGAGTAATCTTTTAAATGAGTGCAAATAAACCCAATCTTTTGTTAAGTTCAATAAACACAAAAGAAAGACAAGAACATTGCCAGGTTGCCATGAAAATGCACACAGAAATATTATGAATTGTTTTAGAGATGGCATATTTTTAAGTGGAGGTTGTATATTATATAGATGTTGTTGTCCCTTTTTATGACAAAAAAAATAATCAGGCCAGGCCATGGACCTGAGATGGCTGGAAAAAAAAAATCATTGAACTTTCCAAAAGAGTTTTCCAGCCAGGGTGAGTAATGACTGAGTACAGAGGCCCTGAAGAGGAGTCTGCTGAACCCTCMATCTACAAGATCACAGCCTGAAGAGTTTGGAGTATAGCAAGGACTAGTAGAGGTCAGGATACAAAATGCCAGAGTCATGGTCAGAGGCCAGGATGAGGAGGAGAAGCACCAAGAACCTGCATTCCCAACAAGGCAGGATGGGAACACAGACCAGATGGCTCAACTGTGTAAAAGCTGCCCTCATGACCTAATGTTACTCATCCRGAGTTGTAGCTATTCTTGAAGCAAGGAACAGCTACAATGAAGTAGAAAAACCCTTCAAATAAAAGTAATTAAAATGCAATTATTTTGTATCTTATATAAAAGCTTTTTACCACATTTTCATGTTATTYTATTCATTATTATGAACATTTCAAAGACTAACAAGAAAACCACTACAATACCTGACCACAGAATGAAATTACAGTTAGCTAATGCAACAGTAACCMCACAAATTATCTCTAATTGGTTGACATTAATATGATTGAGCTGCTGATAGTGCCAAATTAATGTCATAAAATGAAGAGCAGCAAGAAAAGGGAAGAAAAACTCATTAAAAAAAAAGGTATCTGTAACTGAATGACAGAATGAGTCAGTGAGAAAAATTTCGCATGTATGACATGAGGCAAATACATCAACRGAGATCCCATATCCTTGTTCAGCTGACCCAGCTCATGGGGTCCTCAGCCACAGAGGGAACTGAGTCTCCAGCAACAGGGCTGGTTGGTTGCATTGAGCTTGACAGCTTGACAGTTAACTAATCTAAGAAAATTAGACACCAAGATCTGTGTGGACCTGTTCGGGTGCTTTCTGCTCAGATCTCACAGCATCCAGCCCAAGAGAATTTGGGTGAAACTATGGGTATCTCTCTATATTTTAAKGCTGGTTCACATTTAACCTCATCCCAACTCAGCTCAGGTGCAGGGAAAGTCAACTGGCTTAGCACAGTCATCCTCAGTTTGGTAGTGGCTTGTAACACAAGAAAGGTTTTCACCACACACTGAGCTGATGTAAGAGATAGGGGCCTAATAAAAAACTCCAGGTGATTTCCATGAAAAAGATAACAGGTTTAGCAGCTATGCTGCCACCCATTTTCAAGGATGACAAYGCAATAAACAGATGCTGCCTAAAGAGGACTAGCAAAATAATTCCAGTTCTCTGCTCTGAAGTTAAATGTGACACTACAGTGTGGTAAATGGGTAAAAGATCAGATTCAGTGTCTAATGATCAATGTCTTGCTTGTCAATAGARTATTTAAGCAAGTAGTAGCTCTGCTTCTTTTATTGATTGCAGCTGAYGTGTAGTGTTTTCATATTGTAGTGATAGCCCCACCTTCCAAATGCCCATCATTCTTACTTTTCTGCTTAGCATATTAGCTTTTGCAGTTAGTTATTTGCTTGTTCATTTGGTGAATTTTTGAGGCTAAGTTTGTGAAGTTCCTACAGGCATTTTTTTATGCATTATTCTACACCAGGCTGCTGTTAGTAGCCCTTTGTGTAGCAAAGCATCTRTATTCTGGGCTGAAAAACAATTATATTTACTAATACCTTCTTCTGCAGAAGGACAGTCTTCACCTGACTCACTAGTAAAGCTCCTAAAGCCCAAACTGTCAAAACCACTTAAGGACTCTGAGTTCCAAGGAGGGGACGTGCCAGCTCTGATTCTCTGAAGGGCCAAACTCAAGRCACATCCAGACATTTACAGTCACCTTGAGTCACCCTGCTGGTATATGTGGGGTTTGAAAGTTTTAAGTATGAGATTGTCACCAGCAGAAGACCTGTATTTTATATTTTATTTTTTGACTAAAATTTTATCAGGGAGCATAATACTGTATCACCTTGAACTTTARAACATCAGATGTGTTACACTGTGATATATACCCTCCAAATTTCTTTAACCAGACCTATATATTAATTCCCCTACTTTTTCAGTTTCACCCTTCCTGTGACCATTCCCACAAGCTGGTCACCCTGGATAGCTGAGAATCTTAAAGTTTTCTGGGAAAATGTGAAATGGGAGCTGATTCCTTCCTTTCCACTTAATGACTTGAGTATTTAAAGGCAACATCTATTCATTTGGAAGAAACAGCTTTGAAGTGATCAATTTTACCCATAAATAATTTATTATATAGACAAAATCCCAGAAAAGAGTCTTTATAAATACATAGCACATTTCTTGGGTTTTACTRGAACAGTAATTCCTGTTATTGTGTATTAATAAAATTCCAGGCAGCTTTGATGCCATGTCCTAGTGAGAAAGGAACACATACCCCGTATTTCACTTTCAGATAGAGAATTTCTGTCATTTATTCAACTAAATTTACTCTAGCAGGAAGAAAACAATACCCAGCCAGCAA